TTCTGTGCCATGTTAAAGTGTCCTCCTAATAAGTCTCAGGGGGAAGGGATGGATTATGGCTGCCTGTAGAAGACTAGGTATGGGGAATAGCTTTCCTTCAAAACTTTGTGGACTCTTGTCTAGGCTGTCTTAAGGCTGTACCTTTGTGCAGTAGAACTGTTACGGTCAGTCTCCGGTGTATGTTTATCTCTAGGATGTGTGGAAATTTATGATGCCCAAGAAACTTGTGCTATTTGAAGTCCATCTCAAATTCTTGTGAATGCTTGGTATAAATGTATTTAGGAGGGTTGGGAACTTCATCTGGCAAGGATTTTTCAAGATTCTTGTACTAATTGATTCTTTCTATTGCTGTCCCTTTTAAATCATTCAGATATATATTTATTGCAACCAAAACATCTTTCAGTTGGGAATTAGTTCAGGGAGTCATCTGTTTACTCACATTTTTAACATCTCATGGTCACTTTTTTTTTGTGCCTTAAGCCTAAAATGCATATGTTTGCAACTGTTTTGATTTTTCAAGATGGTCTTGAAAGAGTAGTCGTCTTCACAGATTCAAAGCTTTTGCTTTATTTCATCTTTTGTAGCTGCTTTATTTTGCCTGCTCTTCTCAAGATATATGGTGTGTTTACTGCTCTTCTGAAGATATACGGTGTGTATACTGCAAGTGCTTTGAAGCAAGTTTTTCATGGTGCTTGCTCTTCAGAGCTTCTAATACAGACTCTGTCACAGCTGGTTTCTTAAATATATTGTACTCCTGTATACAGTGGTAGGCTGTACTAATTCATTTTATGGAGTAGTTCATTCACAACCAGGAGTTTGTCTTTTGTGGAAAGTCTTGATTGAAAGTCTTCAGCTGGCACTCAGTAAGATGGTCTCTCTTAGAATCCTATAATATAGGAGAGGAAAAAAAATGTACGTGCTTACTAACCTTAAGTTTGTAGCCTCTGCTTTTCTGTGCCAACAGTTCTTGGTCAGGTCTTTGTTTTGTCACCCTTAGGACCACTTTGACAGTTTTTTCAAATGAGTTATTCTCTTATTTTCTGTCTGTGTTCCTCAGACCTGTCTGGTTCATCATTTTTGAAGGAAATATTCTCATAATCTCTTAATTGTTTAATTTTTATGAGAGAACAGACCTATATCCATATGCTTATGTATATATGCACTGTATGTCTAGGTAATATGATTTTTAACATCTCAGCAATGATTTTGAGTATCCCCGTGGAACGTTTTAAGTTATATTTTCAAGTTGTAAAACTGATATACCAAAAGCTTTTGTAACAGGCCAAGAGGGTGGTTGGGAACAGATCTTACTGCAGGTTCCCGTTGGAGCTGTTAGGCTTGCTTTATTCATTAACTAGGCTGGAGCTGTGTTAACACTGGAGTGCGGCGCACCAGATGGGTGCCACTGGAGAAGACCTTTCTTCATAAAACAAACAGAGCTTTGGCTGTTTTTCTTGCTGTCATCTCTGCTCCGTATCTGTCACGTGTTGTGAGTTATCACTGGTGGCCTTTATTAGGTGGTGGCCCTTTGCAGTCCATATTATATAAGAGAGTTCTTAAAAGATTTTATTGCTTAAACCTTGCTGGTTTGAACTAACAGTGGAGATGTCAGTTGACACCCTGTGCTGCATTGCAAATTCCTTAACTACTTAATTCCCACCCAAACAGAAAATTTGAAAACAAGTTGTGTTGAAAGAGATTTTTGTCAAGCAACAGCAACAAAAGTCTGCCCCAGAATAAGATTGTTTGAATATTTTCCTTTTCGTTATTTGATTTAGATCAGCTTAGTAGCACATACATGTGAAACTGATTTATTGTTCTAAATGAGGAATAAAAACTGTTTTGAAGACTTGTTCTTGATTTATAAACCACGTGACCAAAATTTTATCAGCTGTGTTACTGAGCTGTGGAAATCTTTATATAAACCAGTTAGTTGTAAATAAACAGATTTAAGTATAAGAGAAGAATGAATTGTAAGTAAACATGTATAAGAGCAATCCTTAGTAAAACTTTTAACTCAGCTTTTTACTTAATACAGCAACTTTAACATTGCTTTTTCTGTATTTATTTAATTCTATCCAAGATCAGCTTGACATGTGTCTCAAATCTTTTGACTCCTAGTAAATACAAGATTACATAACCTAAAAATAAAGAACGGTATCTATAAGATTTATAAATATATAGCAGATGAGCAAAAAGTGCTGTCAAACTTAGCATAGACTTATCCTTTGTTTCAAATTAACTTCCAGCTAAGGAGAATTAACCTTTCTTCTGGAAAGTAAAGATACAGAATTTGAGTATAATTGATTGTTTAAATCAAGGTTTCTTCCTTTCAGATTTAAATAAGAATTGATGATTCTGTTTATTTTGGTATAAGTCAGTCCACTTTAACTAAAGGTGTGAGCTTATTTTTCTGAACCCTGGAAGTCAGATTGCTGAATTCCTTGTTGCTCACGAGAAATGGATTGAGAAATGTCTTTGTAGATGTTCTCCTGCTGTAGCTCTGGGCATTGAGGAGGGAGTGCACACATCAGTTACAGCTTTTAACTAGAGCAGAATGGCTGAAAGCCAGTTAGTAGGATGGAGATGTGCATTGGTTTTTCCTCCTTCCTCCCCTCCCTCCCTCTGCAAATGCGGTTGGCTTCTGATCGCTGCTGGGATGTTCTTTCTTTTGCTGCTGCTTACAGCTGAAAGGGGGGGCCTTTGGAAATGTATTTTAGTCTTATGGTAGCAGTCACATAAGATGTTAGTAGGCTCCTGGCTGCCTGTGAAGATTCAGGTGGTGCTTCTCTTCAGTGTGCGTGTGTGTATATATGTATGGATTACATGCATGTATCAATAATGATGTATTCTGAAGTCCTCATAATAATAATATTGTTATTATGAGGTAGTCTTTAGAGAAACAATGAAAAAGAGAAGGTTAATGATTGTCAGGGTTAAAACTGGTATTTTCTCCAGTCATGTTAAAAGTTCTTCTGTAGCTTGATAGAAACTATGGGTTTGTGGCATCAGCTTTTGGTTGAAATTCTCTGGCCTTTTTTTATATGAGGCTAGAATTGACCTTCAGGGTCCCTCTTGGCTCTTAGTGTTAATCCCTTTGTGGAAATGATCATGAAATAATAGCTGTTAGAGCCTAACAGAGATCTTATAATAGGAAAACAAATTACATGTCAACAATTATGAAAGTGACTTTAAATTTTGACCCTACATTTGAAGGCATTGCATAAATGTAATAACATATTGTCTCTGAATAACATGGAGGAATATAAAACATACTGAGGTGCCTGCATGATGCCTGGAATTAGAGATAGCCATAGAGCATACTGAAAATGTCATTTTATTCTTCTAAAATATGTTAACCAGGTTAATGTCAACAATTATGAAAGTGACTTTAAATTTTGACCCTACATTTGAAGGCATTGCATAAATGTAATAACATATTGTCTCTGAATAACATGGAGGAATATAAAACATACTGAGGTGCCTGCATGATGCCTGGAATTAGAGATAGCCATAGAGCATACTGAAAATGTCATTTTATTCTTCTAAAATATGTTAACCAGGTTATGGTTAAAAGAATTTAAAATATGTCATTGAGCTATTTCTAACTGTTCAAGTTCTGTGGGAGTCACTTTTACAGAAAATGTGGTTATATACTGTAAAAGATCAATCTTTTGTGCTATGTTTCAAAGCAAGTAGGAACAGACGGAGGTTTGCTTTTGATACAACGCAGCATTTAAAGTTCTAGTATTGTGAAAAGGGTATGTATTATTGAAAGACTTCAGCGTGGAGGTTTTTTGGTTTTAATATAAAGTTGCATTAGGATTAATATTTTTTTATCATGCTGTTAGAGATCAAAGTATTGGTATAGTAAATAATCCTCTTTGTCTAACATATCTAAATATATAGTGCTAGCTTGCATACTGTGCTCCTTACTTGAGGAGAAACCAAGAACTGATTGTGGGCTGCCTGCCAGTAGAACAACAGTTCATCTCTCCATGTGGGAAGAGCCTCTTTTGCTGGCACAAAATAGGATTGTACCATTGCCAGGAGTCAGTGCCACCTTTGCCATTATACCATTGCCAGGAGTCAGTGACAGCTCCTTGATTATTGCTTTTGTCTGTAACAATTTATCCTGTGTGGACAATGTGTCCTTTCTTAAAATCATTCAGTAATGATCCTATGACTTTTGTAGTGTCTATACGCAATGTTTACTGCCAAGACAAGCAAATGTGATGCCTTTGTGTGTGTGTGTGTAAGGTTGCCATATCTTTGTATTCATGATTTTTTATTTTTTTTTATATATATATATATATATACACACACACACATGCACATGCAAGCATCTAAACTGGTTGTTGTCCTTGCATGGCTGACGTGGTTGTGCTAGCACCCTCAGCAAAATATATTTAGAACTGCAACCAACTAAACATAGATAACAGACCACTGAAATTATATATATTAGTATATAGTTTCCTACAAGATGATGCTAATTCCATTTCAGTTGTTTTTCTTCTCAGATATGCTGCAATAAATGCACAGAATCAGTAGAAATAACTTATAGGGAAGAATTATAAAAAATATAGTGTAAACAAGGATATTTAATATGAAACAATGAAGTTGTTTTAAGGTAACGATCTGGTAATATTTTTATAGCACAGGATAACATAAAAACATAATTAGACTTTAGAGTTCAAGCCAAGTTTGCCAGTCTGCATTGATATTAAATGCAAGACATTTTGTCTAGCCAAGATCACCCAGTGAGCCTTGTGTAGCTTTTAAAAATATCTGTAGCTTTCAGAGTACTTTGGATGCACAGATGTTAAGAAAAGGCACTTAGGTAAATCAATACGTATTTCGCCTTTTCTCTGAGTGTTGTTTAACTGCTGGTTTGAGATAACCGTAAGGCTGAAGAGCTCAGTTGGCTGTCTCATGAACTGTTCTTAATGAGCATTATGTTCTTTTCCCCTCTCGTTTTTCTAGGCTGTTCAATTAACCCCTAGACGATGGCTGAACCTGCAGGAGTACCAAAGCAAAAAACTAATGGCAGACCATGGGGTTACAGTTCAGAGATTCTTTGTAGCTGATTCTGCAAATGATGCCCTGGAGGCTGCTCAGAGACTAAGTAAGTTGACTGCTAATGGGAGGAATCTGTTTCACCAGATAGCAATCTGGAAAATAAATTGCTTTCTAATAAGTTGTACACAATCTTCAAACTGACGCTTATTGAAAAGGTTTGATATAATATCCAGACGATAAATATATGATTAATTTCATATGCGAACAAGTTTATAACAACAGTATTTCTTTAGAACTTTATTTCTAAAATGTTTTGTATGCAGCATGTAACATGAAGTCTTTAATTAACATTATTTATGTAATTTTGAATAATTCAGAATAACATAATGAATGGTTGCTGGGCAAAATTATTTGTTGTTGTATACTTGATATAATTTAAGGAACTGAAGTAAATGAACTTGTGTAAAAAGTTGTTTTCAAACAAAAATTTGCTCTATTAAAAAGCAAAGGAAGAAACAAGTTGTGGGCTCTCCGTTTTAAAAGAAATTCAGAATCCGGTTGGACACAGTTGGCTTTAGCTGACCCTGCTTTGAGCTGGTGGGTTGGACTAGACGATCTCCAGAAGTCCTTGCAACCTCAACTGTTCTATGATTCTGTGAAGAAATAAAATATGTATGAGAGAATTATATACATGTATATTTGTTCACATGTATGTTTGTCCATATGGAGAGAAAAGAAAAGGTGAGTTGAGTTACCTGCCATCACAAAAGGACTTGACAGTGGCTGGGAGAGAAGACCATGCTTCTGGAACTTCATTTTTGTTCTCCGAGAACATCCTCATTTTAATGCAGTGAACATAAGATGATAATGTGGGTCAGAAATGAATTTATGTAATACCTTTTCTCTCAAAAGGAAATGCATTCAAGTACGTTTGTCGCCCAGTTCTAACTCTGAAAGAAGTTTTCTACTTTTTAAAGTTAATAGTAGTTTGCATAGTTTTCCTCTTTTCATTTAGCTTTTGTTAATGTTAGTATATCTTACATCAAAATGCCAGAGGACAGACATTATTGTAGTCTAATTGTGTAGTAACAGGAAGGTTTTTTGTTTTATGTTTTACGTAATGTACAAGCCACTTAATTAAATGCATTTCAGCTTTGCACACTGGAAAGTAAATTAACACAACTTAACTCATACCAAAGATCTCATCAGACCTCAAGTAGCTGAACAGGATTAGCATAATGGCTTGCTAAATCTCTATAACTTTATTAAGGTGATACATTTTTAAGTAATTTTAAATAAAAACTCCTTATAACAGCCAGTATATTTGAAAATATATTTGAAACAAAAACATTAAATGCAACTGTTATGGTCATTTGGCAGTGCAAAATGAAAAATGCTGACACAAACCAAAGCTCATAATATTGGAGGGTTTCCTCATGTCTGGATGTCTGAGAAAATCAAGAAATGCTATCTGAAGCTGTGGCAGGTTTTTCACAAATCTTATAGCACTTAAACTCTCCTCTTCATGATTGAACTCATAAACGGATTGGTCTATCCAATAACTGTTACTATTCTCGATCTCTATAACTATTTTGAGAAATAAATTACTCCATTAAAGGCAGTGAACCTCTTCTGGTTTATGATGCCAGATTTATTTTAAATAGTCTCTGTAGCTTGCTTGCTTTGCAAATCACAGAAATATTGGTCTATTAAAAAAAAACTGTGTTGAAATTTAAATAATCAAAAATAAAATCTAAAACCGAAAATTATTTGCTAATCGAACTTTATCAGGTAAATTGTATGTATTTTAACTAGGTTGGCTTGTTAACACTTCAAAAATTATAGGTCAGTGGTACCTTTCTTCATTTTATGTAACTGCATTCAGCCATGCGGCATCACTGGGCATTAGAGAATTGTGGTTTATAGTGTAGAAGCTGGTTCATGTTGAAATGATTGACACTCCATTGATCCACTAAATAATTAACAACATCCTCATAATCATTCTGATAGTGTGCTGTTGTCGTACTTTTAATATGCACTTTGAAAACTAAGCATCAAGAACACAAGTTTTGCTGCCGTGGTCGTTGTTGCTCCAAGATTTCATCAGATTTATCTTCTTTATGATCCTTCAGACTAGTAGTATCTCTGTCACTCAGGTTTATCTGCACGTTTTGATACGGGCTGCCATCTTCTGAATATGCAATCACACAAAGTAAAAAGTTACAGACGAAACAAAAAACTTCAGCCTACAGGAGGCATAAAATATTCCAAAATAAAATAACCAATGGAGGCAGCTTTGGGATCTTGATAGACAGGTGTTCTGCAGTAAAAGATGGTGAAAGGAGAGGCTAATCACCCCTGCCGAGTCCTGCTCAAAAATCTGGTGTTTTAAATACTGTATGCCACATTGCAGCTGTCCTTAACTTTAGCTTCTGCAAACAAGAAAGGATGCTTGCCAATGTATTTTTAAGATAAAAACAGAATAAAGTTATCAAAACGTCAAAGTCAAAGGTTCAGTATTTTTCTTGTGAAAGGAGGTTCTTTCTATAGACCTGTCATCATGAATACAGGAGAAACAATTATTTTCCTTTATAGTCTTACTGCATTACATCACTCGCATGGGTCTGTGTGTGTGTAAAGAGGTACGGATAAAGGGATACAAATTCCTGACACGGAGATCTTTGCAATGTGTGATATTCACAAATTAATTTCACAATTTCACTAAATACCACAGGCTTGACAGTCCTGTCTGTACTGCTGCAGTGTCTGTGGTCACCAGTTTTGCTGTTGTTGGATTTCCTGTTGATGCAGTGGAAAGAGATGGAATTAGATCACTTTTGCTGCTGTCTTCGCTTGTCAGGAAGGTGTTAATGCATTTGTTCTTGAAAGGGTCTGCCTTTATCCAGTATCAGCAGTTCTGTTATAGTTTGCTCATTTCCTCTGTTGCTCTCTCTATTTTTATTAATACGTACACTGAATACACTGAATATTAATTTTCTCAGAAAGATTTTCAAAACTTACCAACAGTACAAAAGGCAGTCTACAAGGAATTTTTAATGGAATTAAAGGATTGGGTTTTTTCTTCTAAGATAAGAATGGCAGATGTGAAGAAAATTAAAACGACATCACTAATATTGACTTCAAAAGAAGTTGTACACAATAAGGAATACGGGATTAGGCCCCAAGGAATTCATTGCCTTTTACATGCTAAGCAATTTTCAGGTGTAACTCTTGTAGAGAAGGTGATATTTACAGAATACCAAGAAATGCAGTCACAAGCGGTTTTGTGTTTCCTGTTAAAATTGCTATATTTTCAAGAGAGGAAAGAAAAAGACATTGTGCTGTTTTGCTACGACAGTGTGGTGTTGCTTGACCTGCCATCTGAAGAAACGCAACCTGTAAACAAGTTCTTGCAGTTCTAGTGCAGCTATTTAGCAGAACAAAGTGAAGTATTTGGGAGCTTAGTTTTTGTCTGAAACGTAAGATCTTCTGATCCGATTCTTGCTTAATGCAGTGGTACATTAAGGGCTTGTTTAGCCAGAGAAGGCATTTCCTTTCTTGCTATTTCTTTTCCTCATACTGTAGTACCGATATAAGGAAAAAAATCCTCATATACGCATACATATACCCAGACTATTAGGGTGTGCGCCTTTTCGTTGCTTGTGTTGGGCAGGTGCACTGTGAATCACTTCAGGGTCCATCATTTTCTCTAGCCTTCCCCACCGGAGGCCCTTAAGTCTGCTTCAGCTCGTTCACTGTTCTTTATGTTCTGCCTGATGGAGAAGTTATTAAGGGAACCATCATTTTAAACTAGTAGGTGGACAAAGCTGAGAGGGATTATAATTACGCTGGAGGGTGTTACTATGTACTGTCAATTGGGTCTTTGAATCAGTAGAGAACTTACAGAGGTGGTTGAAAATGCTGACAATCCTAAATGGATGCTGGAAGCTTGGCATGTGTTTCTTTTTCTGATTTTTAACAAAAGCAATAGAGTGCTGCCCGTTGCCACTTAGAGTGTTTCATTACATTTAGGAATCGGTAAGGTGCAGTGTTCACACTCTATCACAGAGAAATGCAACTGAATTGAGTGCAAGGCTTTTATTCACTCTTCTTTAAAAAAAAAAGTATAACAAAATATAGTCTCTGCATATCCTATTTCTATTGCCTTATGCATGAGGGAACTCATAAAATTCGGCTTTGGACTAAAGGCATGCTTTTTATATCAGGCTGGAGAGGTAAACATGTATTTTATAAGGAGCAGAAGAGGTTTATTGAAGCCTCTTGCCATGAGGTCATTTACCTGTAACTTATTATTCACCATTTTTTAGAATATTGAAAGAAGTTCTCAGTCATGTGATCACCAGTCTCCTTCCTATCTCAGCCTGCTGGGTTTTTTCCCTTGGCTATGTTTAATTTAGATGGAAGGCTGCGTCTTTAGATGCTATTTTGGATTCCTTATCTGAAAGTTCATCTCTCCAATACAAGTTGGGAAAACCACTTGAAAGCAACGTATGTTTAGAAGGGATAAAAAACTGATTTTTAGCTTAGTAATGTCCTTTTTTGTATAGATTATGAAGAAATTGTTGGTGATAATGCTGTCTCTATTTAATCTAAGGAAAAATGAAAAAGATCCTTGAACCTGACGTTTCTGAGCATATTAGAAATGTGAATTTAGGTTCTTTTTTGTTATACCTGGAAGAGCTTTTCTATGAGTATCCTGTACAGACCAGCCCTCTGTTGTTAAAGTTATCTTTAAGTAACTTTATTTACTCCTCAATCTTTGAGTTTGTTGGGTACTTAGCTGATTTTTTTTACTGTCATCCTGTGCTTTGCTTACATGATTTAATTCACTTTCTTCTCTCCATCAGGATAGGTAGGAGAGGAATTGCCTCCTTCAGCATTTCTGTGATTTCCGTATTTCTTTCCATTGTATGGTTCACTGTGTAGTAATAATTTTTCACCTGTGCATAATGAGTTATTTCTCAAAAAACCCTACGTACTTAGTGGTTATAACTAGTTATTTTTTAGAGCCCCTTGGATTATGCTTCTCCGCATATGTTGAAAAATCACGCGTTGCTGAAATAGTGTTCCATGGAGCTGTAAGCA